TGATTTATTTCTATTTCAAGTTGTTTCAGGTCTTTTCCTGAACGAAATAAATTGGTGTCATCTGCAAACAATATAAACGAAAGATTACTAGAGCAATGTATATCATTGATATATAAAAGAAAAAGTAATCGGCCCAAAACTGTTCCTTGAGGAACTCCACATTTGATCGTTTTTTCAGTTGAGTAAATTACATTATATTTAACTATCTGTTTTCTGTCAGTCAAGTAGTTTGCAAATCAATCATTGCATATACCTCTAATTCCATAATGATGAAGTTTAGTCAATAAAATTTTATGATTTACGGTGTCAAATGCTTTAGAAAGATCTAAGAAGATACCAACAGTATATTCCCCTTCTCTATTGAAGTAGATATGTTGTCAACTAGATCAATCATTGCGAGACTTGTTGACTATTTATTCCGAAATCCGTATTGTTTGTCATAGAGGATATCATGTTTAGTGATATAGGATGTTAATCGTTTAAACATTATTTTTTCTAGTATTTTTCCAAAACTTGGTAAGACTGAGATAGGTCTATAATTCGTAAATTTGGTTTTGTCACCAGTCTTATAAATGGGTGTAACTAGCGACATTTTTAACTCATGAGGTATAATACCACATGTGAAGGATAGATTGAAAACATGACACAGTGGTATTGAAATAATATGTGAAATGTGTTTAATAAGTTTGGAACTTATTCCATCGATTCCGCAGCTGCTTTTAGATTTCATAGAGGCAATTATTTCTTCAATTTCTTTGTTTGAAGTGCTTTTTAGAAACATAGATTTTTGATAGTCACCTTGTAGGTGCTTGGTGAAATTGTTAGAATTCTGTTCGAACTCCTTAGCTAAATTTGGTCCTACATTAACAAAAAATTCATTAAATCTATTCGCAATTGTGTTTGGATTGTTTATTTCCCTGCCATCTTCTAGAGAAAACCTAGAAGGTAGCTGTTTTCTCTCTCTTTTTTTGCCAATTAATTCATTCAGTATTTTCCATGTAATTTTCAAATCAGCTTTGGCATCATTTAACCGTTTTTGAAAAGGCCTTTTCTTGGAGACTCTTATAAGATGGTTTAATTTATTTCGGAATATTTTATACTTCGTTCTATTAAATTTTGTTGGCTTGCATAGAAATTTCCTGCATAGTTTAGTTTTCGTTTTCGTGGATTTTATTAGTCCATTAGTTATCCATGGTTTCTTAGGGCATATGTTGTCTTTTAATTTAACCACTTTTATTGGAAAATGTTTGTTAAAAATTCCTTGAAAGGACTTTCAAACTCTTCGTAAGATTTTTCAACGTCAGATTTTGATAGTGTAGATGACTATGTTTGATTATTTAATTCATTAACAAAGGATTCTCGTGCTGCATCAGGCATTGGTCGAATTTTACTTAGCTTAACACCGTTTTCAACATGATTTTGGTTATAATCTAGACATATTTGGAATACTGGTAGGTGATCCGATAAATCGTTAAATAATATTCCACTAATTTGTTGTTGATAGCTAACTTGATTGCAAAATATATTGTCAATTAAGGTTGCTGTATGTTCAGTTAATCTCGTTGGTTTAGTTATAAGTGGGAGAAACGCAGAGGATGTTAGTTGGTTGAAGAATCTGTTTGCAAAAGAACAGTTTTCATACTGAGTGTTGTAGCACCTCTCGGTAGATCGACTCTCATTGGTCCATAGGCTTCTGATGCTAAAAATAGAACTTTTATCATAGTTTATAATTGTTACAGTTCTGGACATAAGAATTACTTGAGCACAAGAATCGAAGGCCGCAATGAATGGGAACGCTGGTCGACTGACAAGAACATTTTAACGCACGAAACCGAAGAAGAGCGTTTCCTGATGGCACGTTCTATCGAGTAAAGGGGATCGTACGTATTTCCCGTTGACACGAGGTGAAGGGAGCAGAGGATCATAGTCTCCTCACTGCCACCAGGGCATCAGGGCATAAGGGATCGAGGGGATCGAAGGGATCGAGGGGATCGGCCGTTTTTCGCTTTTAAATGAGACACGAGGCGAAGGGAGCAGAGAATCAGAGTTACCTCACGGCCACCAGGGCATAAGGGATCGAGGGGATCGAAGGGATCGAGGGGATCGGACGTTTTTCGCTTTTAAAAGAGACACGAGGCGAAGGGAGCAGAGAATCAGAGTCACCTCATGGCCACCAGGGCATAAGGGATCGAGGGGATCGAAGGGATCGAGGGGATCGGACGTTTTTCGCTTTTAAAAGAGACACGAGGCGAAGGGAGCAGAGAATCAGAGTCACCTCATGGCCACCAGGGCATAAGGGATCGAGGGGATCGAAGGGATCGAGGGGATCGGACGTTTTTCGCTTTTAAAAGAGACACGAGGCGAAGGGAGCAGAGAATCAGAGTCACCTCATGGCCACCAGGGCATAAGGGATCGAGGGGATCGAAGGGATCGAGGGGATCGGACGTTTTTCGCTTTTAAATGAGACACGAGGCGAAGGGAGCAGAGAATCAGAGTCACCTCATGGCCACCACGGCATAAGGGATCGAGGGGATCGAAGGGATCGAGGGGATCGGACGTATTTCGCGTTGAAAAAAGACACGAGGTGAAGGGAGCAGAGGAGCAGGGCCACCATACAGATACGGCTACCTGACTACCACCAGGCATATAGCATAACTCAACATTGCACTCACACTTCTGGCTAATGGAAAACTTTTAAACATTTTTTAGTTATCAGTTAGTCCACAGCGCATCATGTTCTAATTATACATACGAACTGACACCTAATTAACACTTGACAAACTTGCACGATATATATCAAACCACATGCCGTCATCAAATCAGAACAACTGACTAAAACAGAACTTCAAGGGTCCAACACTCATTCTTGTACATACATATTGGCGAACAATTACTCGATAAGAATCACAAGGAATTCTGGGAAGTTAATATATTAATCAACTCCAATAGTAGTGGCTGGCCGATTCGGATTACCACCAAACAAATCATTCATTCATTCATTACAAGGTAGTTACATATTAATGTTTTCCTTTGTTTTATTGCTTTTCATCATTTTTTCACTGTTTTATTATTTTTTATTATATTCACTCTTTCTCCATCACTCCACCCTATGCTATATCCCATCTATTCATAATTTTTATGAGTCTCATGCAGGTGAGCCATTTAAAAAACTCAAAGCCAATTAAATGGTGGAGTGCAATAAAAATTTAGTTGGCTCTTCTTCAAAAGCCGTTTCTAATTCTGTTGAGGTTGATGGAATCATCTTACAAAGAAGAGGATTAGCGTCCGCAGTTAACAACGTATTTATTGCTGCCACCAAATCATTACCTCCGTTATCCGAATATGAGAAGATACATCTAGTGTTCCCTACGCCATCTCTGACATTACTATTGCATCCCATTTAAAGAAAATCCAATCCAATAAAGCACCTAGCTGGTCCAGATGGCATACTGAACAGGATTCTCAATACGTTTTCCATGGAGCTCTCTGAACCTGTGACAATTATATTCAAGATCTCTATTAAACAGGCACAGGTCCCAAGGCAGTGAAAAGAAGCGGATGTTATTCCAGCCCAAAGACAACCCCAGTAACATATATATTCTCAGATCTTCGACCTATATCACTAACTGCTACATTGTCAAAAAAATCTTGAGTCGCTCCAATCTCGAAGGATCATGGATACTATTCATTCTATATTGGATCAAAGGCAATTTGGTTCATTAGAAGGATGTTCCACCGTGGATGCGTAATTAGCATGTTCCATTGTTGGTTTTTAGATTCCAATGGCAATGGCGAAACTGTACGTGTTTCCCTATTAGATTTTAGTAAAGCATTTGATAGAATTAACCATCAAATCCTCATAAAAAAAGATGCGATTACTTGGCATTGGTAATTCTCCAATTAATTGGGTGATTGACTTCCTCATGCAAAGACGACAGAGGGTGAAGTTAGGGTCTGTGTTATCTGATTGGCAATTTGTAAATGGTGGCGTACCGCAGGATACAATTCTTGGCCCGCGTCTTTTTTTCTTATCATGGTCAACGACTTAGAAATCACTCACAACAACCGATGGAATTATGTTGGAAACAATCATTAAAGGTAAACAAAGCCATTTACAAACTGTTATCGACGATATTGAAAAATGATGTACAGAGCATACCTAATTTTAAGAATTTTTTATCACTCCACACTTTGGGGCAAAGTTTAGCCGAGCAGAAGCACGCCCTCAAAATTTCTGAACACACCCACAAGACAGGCTACAATTGATATTCAAAGATCCCAAAATCAACATACACTGCACAGCACCCAGAGTCGCCCTGGGAAATTGGGGGCCCAGGGCAAATTTGAGTTGGTATTCGCGGGTACGAGAGAACGGTGTGGCCGCTTGTGATTCCATCTTCGAAAATGTTGAAATCTCAGGTCAAAGAAATGGCCAGATCCTGCATTCTGGAAGTTTGTTCACAGTTATATCTATATGTTTATTTCACTATAGTTCTTTTTTGGGGTCCCCATTTATTGGGCCCCAGGGCAAATTGCCCCCTCCCTCTGGGCGGCCCTCATAATTACATGCTTGCATGAACGAAATATTTTCGTCTTAGCAAATAAAAGGCGCTTAGATGTGACAAACTCCAGAGGAGTTCCAGGATCATGCACCCACAAATCTAGAAAACTATGTAATCTAGTCCCACCAAAAGGGCCTTTTTCTCCAATGTGCGGGGACATTCTATAGAATTCGGAAGATTATATATATGTACTTATTACAAAAAGCAAAGTTATTTAGTATCATTCACTCCAACTCCAAGCTCATAAAGAGATCTTTGATGGGAGACTTTGTTCATTTGATGAACTTTAAGTATAATATTAGTGCGGACGTTCGATAATTTGGCAGTTATCATTTCGATTTAATTTCATTCAAATTATTCTCATTCAAAATGTTTTGATTAATACTGTCAAGTGACAAGACGAATTTTTAGTTTAGTTTTTCTGTTCATTTTTTGCCCCATTTTCTCCTTACTTAACAATTTGTCACAGCAAATTTTGTCATTGCACATTTTACATTTTATCACTGCACGCTTTACTTTTATCACTGCACAAAATGGTTATCACTGCACACTAAAATTAGGTATGGTACAGAGAATGATCTGGTACTTAACCACGCCAAATGTAAGGAATTGATCATTTCGTTTGCTAAAGATAGACCGAACTTTCGTCCATTGTTTGTTGGAGAACATTGTATTTCCCGGGTTTCGTCAGCAAAAGTCCTTGGTCTTAAATTATTTTCTCGTCTGATCTTTATTGGAACTTGCATATTGAATACATCGCAGCAAAAGCATCAAAGATACTATACTTTCTCCGAGTACTTAAACGAAGCGGAGTTGAAGTGAATTGGACCTTATGTCGGAGACTGTCCATTATTATTATTATAGCACGTTATTAATTTTAGTTAGTTATATATAACGATTCCAATTTTAGGTTGATCAAACTTTTATATTGAACATTACTTCACATAAATTTTATATTAGTTAAATTTAGAATATTATACTAGGTCGGTCAAGGTGGCAAGTTGTACCAAGGGGTACCAGCACTTTGAGAACTTGTACCAAGGAGTAGCAGCACATTGGCAACTTGTACCAAGTTGTACCAACTTGTATAAAGTTCGGGTCATTGCGTGCCTGTTACGAAAGACAATACAAAAATCTGCATGCACATGAAACATTATGTGTTGAGAAAAACTTCCTCGAGAGCGTGACTTGTGATATTGCGAGAGAAGAGAATCTAAGTGAACCTTTAATTTGTTAAATTTGTTTTGTTTGTTCTAATATATATATATATCCAAACTGTATATCGTCATTGTGAATTTATTTGTGGTTTTAATTTGTACGTGAATTGTTGGGCGAAACAAGGGAGGCAATCCCCATCACTTAACCTTATAACTAAAATTTTGATCTAGACAAAAATTTCATCACAGCTTGAAAGAGCATCACAAAATTAGTAATATTCCGAAGTTTCGTTGCGAAATGTTGTAAAATGCGGATAATATAGCCTTGCGAAGTTTGCAATTTTCAGTCATTTTAGATTACAAACGGGAAATTGATACCCAAACACCCGATTTGGGTATCAAGTTCCCGTTTGTAATCTAAAATGACTGAAAATTGCAAACTTCCAGGGCTATATTATCCGCATTTTACAACATTTCGCAACGAAACTTTTAGTAAAATTACGTAATATTACGGGGGGAGGGACAAATTACGCAAGGTATTATGGGAAGACGGAAGCTACGTTTGTAAACCATCGATCTCACTCCCCCCCGTCGCGCACCACTAAATGTCCTCTACTATCCCTACATTATCCCTACAAATCCTATAATAATTCAGACTCTGCGGAGGAGAGTGAGATAAGACAGAGACAAACTAGATCAAATGGAGAAAAACTTTATAATTTTAGATATCGAAACGAACGATTTAAAAATGGCCCTATTGTCTTATTGAGTATTGTGCATGGGATTGAAAGTTTTAACAGAAGGCTTGAGTTGAAGTAAATTTGTCGATCCCTTAGTTAGAATTCTTATAAATTTTAAATGGAATTCACATTGTAAATTAGTATATACTATTTACACTGACCTGAAAGGTCAAGTGTCTTAAATCCCTAGTTTTCTGTTTTCTGTTTTCGTCGAGAAATGGAGTTTGCGTTAGCCCATCGCAGGCTCAGTGTTCAACGATTAACCCAAAATGCCATCGATTCAAATGCCATTCGATTCCTCGACTGCTTGATTTAGTCTTCATGGTAACAAGGTCCGTATTTATGTACGTAGTAGCAGTCTCATGCTATGCTTGTGGTACATCTTTAATTTCTTTATTAGCCCATACACTTGTACGCACGCGCACAAGTCAATTACCAGTTCTAAACCTCCTGAGTCCCTATATGCCTCAGAGACCATGTGTATTTACGGATAACGTTTGTATTTGTGAGCAATACTTGTGTTTCATTGGGCATTACGAAAACATCTTCTGAGGATCACGCCACGCTTTTAGCATTTCACCGTTTCTCTGTACTATATTGTATGGAATTTGTACCAAGCGAATTTATACAATAGAATAGAATATAAACAAGGACAAGTTTGACTACAAAATATTGTATGCGCAGAGTAGAATTGTATACTCAATGTGTTTGTATCATATGCAATACACATATAGTCATTCGCGCATCCGTAATGTACAGTCAATTGCGCGACATCCGTGATGGGTTCAAAGCTAACGTTTCGTCTTTAACTTAAGACATCTTCAGAGCAATGACATACAAAGCTAATAAACCTGCTAATTCAAAGCTAATAAACCTGCTACTGATCGACTTAAGACGTTTTACCCTCAGACGATACATCTGTACAAAACGCGGAAACATTTACTTGCTACTGATAACTACAAGAAACATACATTTTATTGTGTTACTGGAGATTTGTTGCGTCAAACAATAACATTACTTTTAACTTCGATGCGAATTTTAATACAAGTGAAGTATGGTATCATATTTCATAATATAGTGAAAAATGTAAACTAGCCCTACATTTCGCCGAACATAACTTCGGCCCCTTTGGACATACCTTTTTCGTAATAGTATTAATGGAATCAGAATCCAAAACACTATTTATAGTGTTATTTTCAAGCTTGTGTCTTAATTCAGATTTTCATCTTTCATTTCGGTATTTACAGAATATTTATATTTTTAGCGCGGCCCATAGAGCGTAAGTCAAAACAACGCGCTGTTTAAATCGTAGGGGTCTAAAATTCGACTTAAGACGTTTTACCTTCAGACTGCGCTTCCTTGGAAGTTGACTGCATGGTTGGGGTTTTTTCGTGCAACGTCTCTGGAAATGCAATATCTGGATCGCTGAGTTTTTCAAGTTTTATACGTTTAATATACGGACTCACGGAATGTAAACAATGTTGTCTGCGTTAGCGCATCGCATGCTCAGAGCTAAACCATGTGCATTCGTGGATAACGTTTGTATTTGTGAGTAATACTTGTGTGTTTATTGGGCATTACGAAAACATCTCCTGAGGATCACGGCACGCTTTTAGCCTTTCACGCTTTGCGTCTGCGGTTCACGATTTGTATTCTAATCTTGTCTATTGCACCGTAGCTCGTATGTCGTCATTTTCAGGTCAGTGTGAACGCCTGAGCAGGCGTCTTGTTTTATGGAAGATTAAAAAAGATTAACACGCAAGTACTCAATGAATCAATGAGACGCACATGTTTAATATATCTGTCACCTGCATGTGATTGCCCTTTAACCCCTGGTGTTGGCAGCAACTGCATTGCTTTTCTCGAATCGATTCCGTATGCTTTGGCCACAGTGCTTACCAGTCGCTGGCTCGCTGCGAGTAATAACTGTGCTTTATATAGTTTGTACTATTTAGTTCTATTTGCTCTTAATGCCCGCAGCAATCCCTACCTTGCAGGAAGTGGTTTGTTTTGTCGAACTTGCCCGCCTCAAATGTCCATGTTTATAATAATCAACACGGGATTAAATCATCTCGCAGCAAAGCGAGATAGCTCGGTTGCCTGTTATGTAAATGCTAATGCCAAACTCCACACTTCTTATTTTCGTCTTATATAAGGTATATACAAAATGCCTTCGCTTGGCACTTTACGATCCAGTTCAAAACAAAATCAAAAGAGTAACAGCGACCCACTGCAAACAGCTCATAGATTAGAAACGAACAACATATAGATTGCAGACTTTATATACTAGCTTTATATGCTAGCTTTATATACTAGCTTTATATACTAGCTTCCCGAGGGCCGAGACTTTATATACTAGCTAATTCCCGATGAAGTGCTTTCGCTCGAAACGTGGTATAGAGTACAGTGCATTCTATGTATAAAACGATACGCCAGATTTTAATACGCCATGGAAAACTTGTGCTAGGAAGACTTGAGACAAAAAGTCTTTGGAATACCCTAAATATGCTTGTAATAAATATGCTTTGTACTGGGAAACCCCGCAACATCGTTATAGCATTCTGATTGGTTCGATCCCTCCGATCCTTATATGTGCTTTCGGCCAATCAGCAAAGACTTTACGAGAGGTGCTATACTTCTGTTTCAGATGCCCACGTTGAGATTTCAACATTGGGTTTTTCCTTCACAGGACGTTTTCATGAATTTCTGGCATTTATATACATATATATGTTCATGTTCTCATTCAGTCTGTTCTGTTTTGTATACGTGGCTGTTACGGCTGTTCTCGTCTAAACTTATGTTGTGTCACTGTGACCGTATATAATTTGCTACTGTCCCTGTGTTAGGAAAAATGCATGTCTACGTGGGATAGAGCGATTATCGTTTTCAGATGCCCACAGTTGAAATCAATATATTGTGGGACGGTGCAGCTAGTTGTTTTCAGATTGCCCGAATATTTATATATTTTGCAGCATTGTATAAATGTAATATTCAATTTGCGGCTACCTCCGATGTATGCCATGATTATTCCGCTGCGTTGTGCGATGTATGCCAACTTCATTTCGTTGTGACGTTTACATATATGTCAATACTTCTAACGTTTTGCAGTATTGTTATAGAATAACAATTAGATTATTCCACTGCTTTTTGTCTTGTACAGGTTATTTTATTATTGTGCAGTATGTTTTTGTTAGGTTTATAGTCCGTTTAGCCGGGTATGTCGATATCAACCGGTCAAGCATAGCTAATGTACATGGTGCAACTCAAATTTTGCTTGTCTGCGTTCTTTAGTCTTTTCTTTCAGAACATCCATGCTACTAGCCCAAGCATCTCAAGGACCTCAAGTACAAATGGTCGCTGAAGAAAACGTCAATCGTCCACCCTTCATGATTGCCAGTACACTGACAGTGAAATGTTATGGCCAACTTGGTACTTCCTATCCTTCAACTATTTTCGTCCGCACCACCCGCGCTGTAATATAGATTTGTGGTTTGTGACTTGGCAGTACGCGGTGGCGCCAAATTACAAAATTTGATACACATTTGCGCTCTTTGCGGCCAAACCACATACTGCGATGCCAGGGGGGTTAAAAGTCATTAGGAAGCCGGAATACGCGACTTTCCTCTTGTTCGCGCACTGTGCCAAAATTTAATTACACGCACGCAATCTCAGAAGCCTACTTCTGGTTATTTTGTGACAATGGGCTTCCAATCTTTTGACAACTTAGACAGTCTTCATGTAAGGCAATATATCCGATTGCAAAATTTTAATTTTCATCCTCATCGATTCTCCAGTAATGGCGCCCCAACCGCTGTCAAGTCTCGACCAACACCAGTCACAATAAATCAATTAATTTATTAATGCATTTACTGGGTGGACATGATGCGAAATGGATTGTTTATTCATATGAAGGTTTTACATTTGCGAATATCGTTTTATGCAAATTATAAAAGATCTGCTGAACAAAACCATGAAATTGTGAATACTATATATTAAATACCTAGGGGAATAGCTGCGTGTTCGCCTTTGGGTATTGTTTATACTAAACATGCGCCGGAATACATGATTTATTTTCTCTAAATTCTATTGTTAGTTTTGGTAGTCATTGCGATAAACTACGTTCGTGTTGATGTCGTACATTGGACATGTTTAATTATACTTTAATATACGGCTTCAGAAACGGTTAGTTAGTGCTAAAACACAGCTAAATATTTCGCATCATGACTTCCCGGCTTGGCAGCTTCGCAATTATCACCGATGCCGCATTCATCTTGCTGATTTCTTATCTCTTTGCAAATATTGGGGAGTGCCAATCCGTGAGCTCTCATTCGCAAGAATTGAATTAGACGCTTTACGCATGACAGCGCTATTTATTACCTGAGGATCAGACTGCGGAATTTAAATTAAGTCACTTGCGTAAAAAGGTAATTCAATCCTCGATTGCCTTGCTTAATTAATTTAGTTTTGTAGGTGGTCGTGCCACGTCGTGCCTTGTTACGATGGCTGTTGATCTTACAAGATCCGATCGGCCCAGCATAGTCGTTATACCATATCGCACTCGGCAATTTGCGAGGCGGTGGTAATTCAGCGTATAACGTTCTTAACAGATGATGCTACATTGGTTGATATTATAATAAGGCTATTCGGTTCCATTTTGGAATTCGGCTGTTATGATATTTGTACGTAAACTGGTGCTTGCTTGTTTTTAATTAATAGCATTAGGTATATCTTTATTTCGTACTCGGCACATATCTGGATTAAGAAGTGTTTCAGGGAATCCTTTATCTCGGACACAGGTTGCTACGTTGAGACAGCTCGCATCGGCCAACGTTCATTCATCACCAACAGTCATTCCGGACTATCATATATATAACTTCAATTCACGTTTCTAAATTTAATTTACCCAGTTTGTTACTAACGGTGTGTACAACAAATGTTTTGTTTTTCGCAAACGTCATTGCCGGCTGGATGTTGAACTGGCACAAGGTGACAAGGTTCACATTTTAGCAGATGCATGTTTATTTCGCCCGAAATTGGTGATTGCCTAGGTATTTTATCTTACTTATTCATCATCGCTGGATGTTGAACCGACACAAGGGTAAGGTTCACATTTCAGCTGATGATATTTATTTCGCTAGAAACTCGTATAATACGGTATTTTATCGCCTCTGGAGACACTTATTGGTCATCGGTTGGATATTGAACTGACACATGGGTAAGGTTCACATTTCAGCTGATCATCAGTTTATTCCAGTGGAGGCTTGTATAGTAAACTAGGTAATTAATAGCACTGTTATTATCTAGACCAGTGTAAGTTCATTGCTTTTGACTGACAATAGCATATGCAGTCAAACTGACATAGATTGAGGTTTTCGTAACATGTGGTATCAATATATACGTAGATATTTTTCATGATCATCTGCAAACGGTTTGCCAGGTTGGGGTGGGGTGTGTCTCCTTTATCCCAAGGAGACTTGTGGCGTTAGTAATGCCCCCACCTTTTCTGTGCTAAATGTTATATAGTTATTAATTAATAATTTTTCTTGTTAATTATTAAAAATCGATTAAAATAATAAACCGGCTATGTGCCAACAACCGGGCACATAAGCCATAATTATGCCATAAAGGCTTTGACTGGTTTTGTAGTATTCGGCAGCACAGAAAACCGAGCTCAGCCTGACAAACAGTTTGCCGATGGTGGTTTAATATATGCAGGGAAGCGATAAAAGTACTTTAAGTGCGGAACCAAATTCTCACTAAATATAACAGACTATAGAGTTATTTTTGTGTATACGCATCCGAAGCGCTCACTATTTTCAGATTTTTTATAACAAACGCAGCCCAACGGCGACTGTAGAATGCCTTTAAATCTAACAGTGACGTCACACGGTACACGGCTGTGTAGCGGGGTGATTAAAATATTTAAGCTGTGTATTCTTTACTATACGATACACAGCCGTGCACCGTGTGACGTCACTGTTAGATTAAAGACGCTCTCATGACGAGCCGCACGTTTTGAAAACCAGCGGGATTTGCAAACTGAGTTTGCATTTTTCAGGAAGCGGGTGCAGCTTACCCACCAACAATTAACGCTATGCGATGTCATCAATCCAGGAGAAACTGCTCAAACACAGTGTGAGATCAAACATGTAATAAATTTAATTTCAGTCCGAATATTAACCTACATATGTTATATGATATTTTAGGTACAATTCAGTACAAATAAATGCCTTGATTGTTGACAGAGCTAACACTACAGGATACCGCTATAGATACCGCTCCAGGTGTAGCTAATTCACAATACTATTTTGGCTTACATGCGCCAAAAGATGCTTCTGGTTTAGATGCGCAATGCGTTCTTTAGGTATATGGTATTAATATCTCCTTACTAGTTTGTTTTCCCTTGCGGATTGCAATAGGCCTACATTGGAAAAAGGTCGCGCAAGGAGCGGAAAATAGATTATATAATTATACAAGATAATTTATTTTGAAAGGCTATATATTTGCGTTACGTATTTTGTTCCATAATTTTCAAGGGATAATTGTAATACAGACTCTCAATAGCTTCCACTGGTTAAGAAAAATGAAGCATCTTCACACTAGAAGGACTCTTAAAAGGAGCAAAGGCTCAGTATTTTGTGTTGCGCGCGCCGTGATTTATAGTGCAACATACTAATATTTAGTGTATACAAGGAATAACACAGACTCCTATTTAGCTTCGACTGGTTAAGAAAAGATGGAGCATCTTCATAACCTGCCAGCAAAAGATGGCACATCTTTCTGGCACAGGAGTTTCCACTAAAAGGACTCTTAATTATTCCGGCAAATTCCGATCTCAACTAGGCTATATTTTGCGTTGCGCCGTGTTTTATAGTATACTATGTACTGTACTGTATACAAGGAATAACACAGACTCCTATTTAGCTTCCACTGGTTAAGAAAAGATGGAGCATCTTCATAACCTGCCAGCAAAAGATGGCACATCTTTCTGGCACAGGAGTTTCCACTAAAAGGACTCCTAAGTATTCCTGCTGAGGCAAAGGCTATATTTTGCGTCGCGCCGTGATTTATAGTGGGATATGTACTGCATGCAGAGAAAAATACAGACTCCTATCTATAGCTTTCACTGCTTAAGAAAAGATGGAACATCTTCATAACCTGTTTTTTAAGTTTAGATATAATGAGAACCATATTGGTGTCCTAGTAATAATTTTATGCCTCAATAATCCCTAAATATTAGATCTAAAAGTGCTGTGTGAAATATGATAGTGTGATGGCCTCGTACATGTTGTTGGCACAATGTATGCCTGTGAAAATTATGTTGTATTTGATGAAACTGAGGATAAAAGATAAAAAAACGACTTGTATTTGTATAAATGTGAACCTAAGAAATATAAGTAGCTTACAGGTGTAGATTTATGAAACACAAAACTGGAGATGCATGCATGTGTAAAATTGTAAAGGTAAAATATATCCTGTGGTGTAAAATATATATTTGATCAGACCCAAAGCTAGAGTATGATCGCGTTGTACTAAAAAGCTTGTATGGAGGCATGTAAAATATATAGAGCGAGAGAAAGAGATAGTCATGTGTGTAAAATTCAATATCCCTGTACGCGGCGTTTCGTCCTTCATGGTCTCATGGAGTCGTCAGCATGGCCGGAGTTGGGGTTGGCACATGTGTAAGAAGCATAGAATACAGAATCCGATTTGGATTACAGAGTCAATAAGCATAAAAATAGCAATATATATGTATGACTATTGTAAAATAAATGTAAATTAGTAAAAAGTGTCTTACCAAATTCGCTGATATTTTTGTCAACCAACACGTTGCCGACGTTGGGCCATGGCCATGGCTTATAGCCTTTATATAGAGCGTCTTTCGTTACGACAGATAACGGCATACCAGTAGGCATACCAGTTTTTTAGAGTATGAAGCTTGTCTCAGTAAACGCGTTTCGGCGTTTGTACGCCATGATCGCTTGACATGCTGTTCGCTTCAGATGATTTGGCGCAATTGAATTTGGCGCCCAAAATTTTGTAAACTTATATTCTGAAGTTCTAATATGCAGTAATTGGTGATGACAACTTGACAAGTCGCTTCATAAACTAGATAGTTAATATTTTTCAATAATTAAACTACATCTCATTACTTGGCATTAAATTACATGCAAGGGAAAATAATCCAGGCTATTAATTGGAAACAAATGTCAACACCTTTCACACTTTTCCCAGTAATGCTGCGTAAAGCAACACCTAAAAGTTAATCCTGTTTAAACCCGTGCGGCTCGTCATTGAGTCGCTGTTGGGCTGCGTTTGTTATAAAAAAATCTGAAAATAGTGAGCGCTTCGGATGCGTATACACAAAAATAACTCTATAGTCTGTTATATTTAGTGAGAATTTGGTTACGCTACACAGCCGTGTACTGTATCAATTTACTAAACTTTCAAAATAACATTACTTACACATTTGTACAGTTTTATACAGTTATATTGTATGAATACACGGGAATATGATGCTCCATGCTGCAAACCCATTGCAAAATGTTGCAGGCTAACAAAGGATCTGCATTATGAAATGCATGCATATTACCAATAATGCAAATGATTCACGCTCAGGAACTAAAGACAGATCTGTTTGGCTCTAAGTTATGAGGTAAACAAACCTCGCATTTTTTGGCTGAACATTTTGCACTGTCTGACTAAGTACGATAAGACATCTTCGTTCTCCACAATGTTCAATAATTTGTAAAACGAATATATGTCTTTTTAGAGTTGCAGACTAAGTTGTAATTGTATAAATCCCGATAATACGTAAAAGGCCACTTGACATGTAATGTGATAGGTGACACTTACACACAGATCGGAAAGTAAAAAACTAAATATAACCTGGTTTACTAATTGTTTGTTCCTATTGCTATAACAAACAAGCCTATTTCAGACTGTCTGAAAATGACCTAAAAAAATATCGATAATTTTCACCCAATTTTTATCATTGGATCGAGCCTTAAATTCATGAAATCAGACAGTTGGAAATATGTGATAATTTCAGACAATCCTGGCAAAAATTATCGTGGACAGCGCGTGGTCTGAAAATGACCTAAAAAAATATCGATAATTTTCACCCAAATTTATCATTGGATCGAGCCTTAAATTCATGAAATCAGACAGTTGGAAATATGTGATAATTTCAGACAATCCTGGCAAAAATTATCGTGGACAGCGCGTGCGTCAAACAAAAATAGATATATTTCTACATAATTAATCCGCCAGAAAATTTCTCCCCCTCCTACCCCCAATTCAATGTTGGTAAATGAAACTTTTAAAATTTGAATGCGAGAAACAACATTGAATAGGGGGCAGGGGGCGACAAATTTCATGAAAGAACGTCTCAATGTTAATATTGGCGTTAGAAAAGTTAGGTGTCCACATAATTTTTGCCAGGAATGTCTGAAAATGACCTAAAAAAATATCGATAATTTTCACCCAAAACTAGGCCTTTTACTATAAATTTTTGACGCTGCCATTGCTTTAGGATAACAAACCGATTGTTTAAACTGGTTTAATTGTTTTTTAAAGAATATTTATAATTTTGTGGGTGAGCGGCTCTTGGGCATGATATACGCTTTGCTGAACTAATTATGCAGACGCAGTAAGACGAGTTTTCAACAAAAGTACTTTAAGTGCGGAACCAAATTCTCACTAAATATAACAATTTTTTATAACAAACGCAGCCCAACGGCGACTGTAGAATGCCTTTAAATCTAACAGTGACGTCACACGGTACACGGCTGTGTAGCGTGGTGATTAAAATATTTAAGCTGTGTATTCTTTACTATACGATACACAGCCGTGTACCGTGTGACGTCACTGTTAGATTAAAGGCGCTCTACAGTCGCTGTTGGGCTGCGTTTGTTATAAAAAAATCTGAAAATAGTGAGCGCTTCGGATGCGTATACACAAAAATAACTCTATAGTCTGTTATATTTAGTGAGAATTTGGTTACGCTTCACAGCCGTGTACTGTATCAATTTACTAAACTTTCAAAATAACATTACTTACACATTTGTACAGTTTTATACAGTTATATTGTATGAATACACGGGAATATGATGCTCCATGCTGCAAACTCATTGCAAAATGTGGCAGGATAACAAAGGATCTGCATTATGAAATGCATGTATTACCAATAATGCAAATGATTCACGCTCAGGAACTAAAGATAGATCTGTTTAGCTCTAAGTTATGAGGTAAACAAACCTCGCATTTTTTGGCTGAACATTTTGCACTGTCTGACTAAGTACTATAAGACATCGTCGTTCTCCACAATGTTCAATAATTTGTTATACGAATATATTTCTTTTTAGAGTTGCAGACTAAGTTGTAATTGTATAAATCCCGATAACACGTAAAAGGCCACTTGACATGTAATGTGATAGGTGACACTTAACATAGATCGGAAAGAAAAAAAAACTAAATATAACCTGATTTACTAATTGTTTGCTCCTTTTGCTAAACAAACAAGCCTATTTTATCATTGGATCGAGCCTTAAATTCATGAAATCGGACGGTTGGAAATATGTGATAATTTCAGACAATCCTGGCAAAAATTATCGTGGACAGCGAGTGCGTCAAACAAAAATAGATCTATTTCTACATAATTAATCCGCCAGAAAATTTCTCCCCTCCTACCCCCAATTCAATGTTGGTATTTTGGTAAATGAAAC